CAATAAAGGCTTCAAGGGCATCTAACCACCTTACATCTAGCAGAGCCTCAGTGAACTTTGTGCATGAATACTAACAAGGACAACAAAAGCTTCCTGTTGAATTTTCTTTCTCAGAAATGGTTAAAAATCTTGGACTGATATCTAAGTTGGTATAATTTAACAGTATTTTGGCTATCTAGAATATACTTCAAATGTCTTTATGAAGTGTACTAATTTTATATACCACTGTGACCTTCCAAAAAGTTTAAATAGAAAAGATACTGATTTATAGTTTCTGGGATGATAATGGAGCTAAATTCCCCCGAAGTCTCTTAAATCAAAGAAAGACTATGTATAGGAGACAAAGTTATGGCAGTCAGATCTTTTATATAAACAGTTCTTAGGAGACGACTGCTACTGTGAATTAGTTGTAAGTAATATAAATGAAGATCATGTTCAGTTCTTTCTGATGAGTTTTATTCATGCATACATGTATGCTTATGTAAATTATATATGGACACATAAATTAAGTATACATACATATATATGTCTACACTCTCACAGAGAGAAAAGAAGAGCATGAAGGTCTCATGATTTATCCCTGCATTTATTTCACTCCTGTAGGTATTTTACTTACAGTAGATTCTAAATTCCTGTCTAAATTACCATCTTTTAGATACAAAAGAATACTAATAATTTAAAAAGCTGCAGCAACAATGGACTAGCTCCCACACCGAAGACTTAGAGCTGGCTTATCTCCATCACTGAAAGAACATCTTGGTGCATTCCAACACAATCAGCTCTGATTAAATCTCTGAAATAATGGCATCAGCAATGCTGCATACCAGCAGGTAGCAGCTACATAGAAAATGGCATATCTAAAATTACCGCAATGGCATATCTGAGGGTGTATCATAATTTTATCTCTGAAGGTCAGTTTCACCAAAAACCCAATTTATATAAGAGCCTATCTAGAGATTAGGGACTAGGAGTTTTTAAAATTATGAAATTTGCCTGATTTAATAATTACTGATGTAGCAAATGTGTCCATGACTTACATGTAAAACAGAGTCCTAGGGAAATAAAGAAGATCTAAAGTTCATTATTTCATACTTCAAGATTTCTTCCTTATTTTTGTTACTTTCTCTCTTATTTTCTCTCTCTCCCTCTCTCTCCCTCCCTTTGGTTGTTGGTGTGAAGTCTTATTTTCCTTGATTTTTATCACAAAAATACGTTTGTCTGGGTTCCTTCTCTGAGCGGTCTTAGATGACCTTAAGTAAGTCTCTAAACCTTTGTCTGTTTGGCAGTGATGTTGCAAAATCAGATGAGCTAATGCATCCTAAAAGTGCCTTGGATACCAAATAGAATGTTGCAAATTTAATTAGTATTAACTATTGGTCTAATATGTGCCTGCTTTGCATGTGTCATTTAATCTTCTAAGGTAGCTACAGTTGAGGAAGCTGAGGCATGGAGAGATTATTAATCAACCCAAATCACATGGTTAATTCCTGGTTGGTCTTTCTGATTCCTCTGGCATAACTCTTATCCCATATTCTAAAATACCTCTTGAAATGTACTTAATTCAACGTTTCCCTTTTTTTTATTCCTAAAGTTTGTCAGCTATATGACAGAACCTCATTGCCATTTGGATATTTAGAAAATATGTAGAAAATAATTATTTTCTCAGACTAGGAATATAATTTTCATTGACGTTTATGTAGTTGTTTATTTAGCAGAAGTTTATACAGCACCCACTGTAAACCAAGAATATACTTTGCCTTGAAATGTAGAGACATAAATGTTTTAAAAAATTTCTGTTCAAAGATGTCAACAGATTATTCTCTGGTGCGTGTCTCCTGGATCCCAGGTCTTGGACAGTGAGCTGTAATGGGAAGATGATGAGCTTTTAGAATGATCTTGAGATTGGCTATATAGTAGTCTTTTCTAGAGGTGCAGTTAGAGAGGGTGAACACCTGTGCTTTCTATGTGTTGCTGCTTCTGGGGCCAAGCTGGAGAGAGAGATGCATGCTTTGGCTTTGGGCAGCCATTTCTCTTCTGGGTTCTGCCTAATTTTCAATAGTTGTCCTCAAATAAATGCCTTCTTTTCCCGAGTCTTGGCTTTTTATTCCCTCCACCCCATCACCTTTAATGATGTGAAAGATCAAAATCTTGCCTGATTTCAGCTTTTTATATTTGTTTTGTTATGTAGCAAAGTTGGTTTATGTGTATCATTGCATTGATATTTGAATGGTACTTATAAACCTGTTTTCTGCACAGTTCAAGATTTTATTATAAAAAAAATTGTAAATGATGACTTGAAAGATACTTTTAAGCCTAAATCTTGCTACAGAATTTGATTAGTTTCATACTCTTCTGCCTTACTGTGTTTCCTTTGCTAAGGCATTTTGTGTGTGTGTATGTGTGTGTGTTTGTGTGTGTGTGTGTGTGTTGTTTTATTGGCAGGAATTCTTTTCTATCTTTTCTACTATCCCTTTCCTCCTTTAATATAGATATAATAGGTGCCACATTTTGTAAAAAACAATTTAGGAATGGAAAAAGTGACAAATAGGGAATTGTTATTTTTACATTGCTCACCTTACTCATCCACAAGTTAGTATATTTCTCTATTTAATCAAGTCTTATTATAAAAAATGTTAAATGGACACAAAAATAGGAGTAAGTATAGTGAATCACCATTACCCATCATCAAGTTTCCACAGTTATCAGTATATTGCCACTCTTGTTTCATCTCTACCTTTTGCCCTCTTTTCCTTGGTATAATTTATGTTATACACTTTAACATTTACCCATTGTACATGAACAATTTAGTGATATCAAGTCTTTTTTAAATGTCTGTTTTATTTATTCCCTCAATATTTTGACTTGAGTTAAAGGATTTTTAAAAATTTTAATTTAAACAGATTTTAAAAATATATTTAATTGTCGGTGGCATCCCGAAATACTATTCAAAGTGCCTGCTGAATTTTTTTCTGTTCTATTTTGTGCATTGATCAATTTATTTTATTTACTGTTTTAATCTTCTAGGTATTATTAAGCAAAACAAAATGTTTTTCTACTTGTACAAATGTATTTTTGTGACATTGTTCTAAAAATGTTAATTTTCCTTTTAATTATGTCATGTTAGTGTTATAAAATGGATTTCCAGCATATGTTGTTGTTTGTTGGTGATATTTCACATTAATCATACCCTTGCCAGCTGTTTAAATCTCTATAAGGCTTATTCGATCTTGATTTCTTCTAATTGCAAATAATATCTTCCTTTCTGTACTAGTTTTCTCAAGCTGCTGTAACAAATTACTATAAACTTGATGGCTTGAAATAACTGAAATTTATTCTCTCACAATTCTGGAGGTCAGAAGTCCAAACTCAGGGTGTTGGCAGGGTTGATTCTCTCTGGAGGCTTTATGGAAGCGTTCACTCCATGCCTCTCCCCTAGCTTCTGGTGGCTGTTGGCAATCCTTGGCTTGTAGCTGCATAACTCCAGTCCCAGCCTCCATTTTTACATAGCCTTTCCTTGTGTCTCTCTGTCAAATCTTCCTCTTCTTTCTCTTATAAGAACAGCTGTTATTGGATTTAGGGCCCACTTTAAACCCAGGATGATCTCATCCTGAGATCCTTAACTTAATTATACCTGTACCGACTCTTATTCTAAATAAGGTCACATTCATAGCTACCAGGGCTTAGACTTATCTTTGTAGGAACTACTATTTAGTTCAGAACACTTTCTAAGCAGCAGACTTCTCTGGATCATTTTAACAACTATAGATTCAATCCTGGAGAACTTCAGAGCTTTATGGTTTGAATATTTGTGATGTTTTCCAGGACATGGTAGGGCGAAGTGAGGCCACTGACTTATTGCCAGGATGCCTGTCCAGCCTTCTAGTTCTCTTTGCTTCCATCTTGTCCTTCCTTGATTGATTATCCACAGGGCTATAAGAGAAATTTTTCCAAAATGTAAATCTGATCATCATTCTTACCATGGAGACTCGAATGAGGTCCTAACTCCTTATACAACTTTTTTAAAGACTATGGATGATGTCGCCACCCTGCCCTCTTAGTGCTCTGAGCCTTTATACATCTTTTCTCTGTGCTTAGATTAGAGCATTCCTTGGCCCCTCTCTGGCTGTTAACTCCTACCTGAGATCTTAGTACAGAGGTTTCTCTCTCTCTGGGCCCTTCTGAGATACCCCAGCTCCTCAGTGTCTCCATAGCATCTGTTCCACATGCTCAGTCATAGCATTTGCCACCTGGATTGTGTTTACCCCTATGCTTATCTATATTCATCTCTGGAATTGATGATCCACAAGGAAAGGAGGCACCAAGTCTGTGTCATTCACAATTGTAGCCTCAGCTTCTGGCATAATGCTGAGCTAATGTTTATTGAATGAAAAATAACTGAAAACAAGGTTTCTAGCCTGAAGGCCCAGGTATTTCTAACACCTCTTCTATTTAGAAAGTGTTGGGTAGAACTGGGTTAGCCTATAGTTTCTACTTTCCTTTTCACAATGTTTCAGTAGTGCCATAGATCTTCTGATGTTTGGAAACATTCTTGATGACTCTCAAGCAATATGTTTGGTCTCTGCCCATCAGATCTCTAGTTTGAGTAGATCTGAAACTGGTTTGGCTAGTTTAGGGATAGCCTTGCAAAAATTGTCCCACTTAGTGGAGTAATAAAAACTGCTCACCCTTCAAAGATCAAAAGGTATCTGGTGAGTGACAAAATTGTAAGAATAACATCGAAATAAACTGTTTTATGTATGACAATAATCCTTGAACATATTTTCAAACTTTGGCTAAATTTTTCCTGTGGAACTTACATTTATACATTAAATCCTAGGGGGGAAGGTGCTTCTGTTTTTTTTATATCAAATGCCTTTGGAAAAGCTTGCTTTTATAGTTCTCTTTAGTTAAGAGTTTATTTTTTTAATTTAAATACTCTATTTCTCTATTTTACATATTTTTTCATATGTTCATATTGATTAGCTATTCTTCTCTTATAGTTACGCCCCGTGGTGTCCATCCTGCCAGCAGACTGATTCAGAATGGGAGACTTTTGCAAAGAATGGTGAAATACTTCAGATCAGTGTGGGGAAGATAGATGTCATTCAGGAGCCAGGTACTATAAATGTTCAACATTAAATGTGAAAGTTTAACAAATTTTTAGTTTGAATTTTTTCAAGTGTATAGAAAAGTTGAAAGACTAGGATACTGATTACCTACCAACTGACTACATTTAGTAAATGGATTACATTTTGGTATATCTGGATCTATGTGTGTATTTGTACATAGAGATCTGCATATATATTTATATTTTTATTTTACTGAGCTATTTATTTTACTGAGCCAAGTAAGTTGTAGACATCATGATAATTTATCCTTCAATTCTTTAGCGTGTTAAAATCTTCCTAATTATTTCCCATGTGTCTTTTTATAGTTTTTTGAACCAGGATCTAGTCAGGGTTCATAAATTTGCATTTGGTTATTACATCTTTTTAGCCTCTCTCAATGTAGAATTATCCCCCATTTTTTAAAATAACATTGATATTCTGAAGAGAACAAGCCAAGATTTTCTTAGGTGTTTCCTTATAGTGACATTTAGCTTAAAAGAATATATATAATATTTTCTGCATTTTCTATATAAACTAGAAATTCAAATCTAGATGCATGAATCAGACTAAACATTTATGGCAAGAGTACTTACTTCACAGATGATGCTGCAATTTCATATTGCATTTCAGCAGAAGGCACATGCAGTCACATTAGTGATGTTAATTTGAGTACTTGGTTAAGATGGTGACACTAAATATCTCCATTATAAAGAAATAACCCCACTTTGTGATTTGCAAGTAGTCTGTGAGGTGATACTTCAGGGTTTTAAGATCCACGATGATCTTGCCTGAAGCAGATATTCCATTATGGGTTCCAGAATGATGAATTTCTAATTCTGTCATTAAATTTACTATTATCATCTGCCAATGAGGTAATTTTTCAGGAGAAAGAAAGAATTGCTTTTACCTTGAAGAGTAGAGAGAGATAGAAGAGACTGTTTTCGATTCTGAAAAAAATATGTACAATCAATCTGTAGTTTTAAAATAACTTTGTGTATTATATATAAATTGAGAAGAAAAGTTGGCCTTCCATGATCTAAATGTCTAAAATATGGCTATTTTCAAATTTTAACAGTCATCTTTTCTTATTGACATTCAATTTCTACCTACTATATCCTTTATCAGGGAAAAAAAGAAGATAGACATACCAATATAATTATTCACCTTTTTGTAATTACTGTGAGTCCGAAAATCACAAAGCAATGAAGACCAATTACTTGGACAACAAAATGGGTGGTGTATGTTAAAATTGATGTGTCATCTGGTCACGGTGGCTCATGCCTTTAATCCCAGCACTTTGGGAGCCCAAGATAGGAGGATTACTTGAGGTCAGGAGTTTGAGACCAGCCGGGGCAACATAGTGAGACCTTGTCTCTATGAAAAATAAGGAAAAATCAGCCGGGCATGGTGGCACCCAGCTGTAGTCCCAGCTACTCAGGAGGCTGAGGCAGGAGGATCACTTAAGCCAGGAGTTTGAGGGTGAAGTGAGCTATGATTACACCACTGTAATCTAGGCTGGGTGACAGAGCAAGACCCTGGCTCAAAAATAATTTTTAAAAAATCAAAAAAATAAAATTGGGGAGAGATCTATTAAAAGGCATGAGTCCTTGAGCCTCCTTATTTGTAAGCATTTGAAACAAAACGATCTCTGCCCATCCTCTATTTAGAGATGGACAATTATGGTTATTAATTCATGGTTTTGGCCATCGTGATGAGTTATTCTGTTTAGACACGAAATCATTGCAATTACCTTTTTGCTAAAAACTTGTTTTCATCTTTTAGTCCTTTGAATCCAATAAAATCAGGTGTAAGACTTGTAAATTAGTGGGTACCAGGCACATTTTATGATGGGGTCTTAAAAATGCAGCTGGCCTATTCATATTTCAGTCATTTTATATACCTGCCATGAATTTACAGCATGATTTGAATTTAAAGGATTAAACAGCTTTGTGATAGGTTCACAAATCTAATGTTTAATTAAATATAGTCTTTTCATCTAAAAATATAGATATAACTATTTTTTCTGTTGGGAATGGATTTTTGATAATGAAGTAAGAGAGAAATTAAAGAAATATTTTTAAAACATTGTTTTGACTCATAATTTATATAAATCTAAACTATATATACTTGAAATACCCGTTAAAGAAGGAAAAAACTTCCATCTGGTATTCTGTAGGAAAGGCAGAAGCTTTAGAATTCTTTTAAATGATAAAAACTTAAAAAGTGCAACTCATAAAAATAATTAGGTGGCAAAATTCTTCTATGTGCATAATTGTTGGAATGGCCTAGAGAATTTTTACTTCAGATTATATTTGTTTTAAGTTTATAATTTTACTTTGAATTACAAACCTAATGGTTTCAATTAATCTTTTAATAGGAATTAGAAATAACATGTTTATTTAACAAATATATGAGTTCCTATCACATACCAGGCCCTGTTTTAGATACCAGTGATACAGAGGTGAATGAGGAAGACAGAGGCCTGGCTCCTTGTTAAGCTTACTTTCTAGTGAAGGAAATAAATAGTAACAGAAATAAATAGGCAGATAATGTGAAATTGCGGCAAGAGCTATGAAGAAAAATAAAATAGGATAAAATGTAGAAAGTGATTGGAGCTAATTTTAAAAATATGATGGCTAGGTGAGGACTGTTTAACTAGAGTTCTTGATAAATTGAACTTTAGCAAGTCTCGGGGGAGGAGCATTCCAGGCAGAGCAAACACCATGTACAGGTGGGAGTGTCCTTGGTGTATTTGAGGAATGATATGACAACCAGTAGGGTACTCGAGATAAATGGAATGGAGAGGTAGCTAGGGACCAGACTGTGTAGGGTCTTACTGGCCATAGCAAGGAGTTTAGATTTTATATGAAGTATGATTGAAAGGAAACTACTGGAGTTTTTGAGCAAGGAAAATAACATGATATGATTTATGTTTTAAAATAATTCCATTGGCTACTCTGTGAAAACATTGATTGCAGGAGGTCAGAAATGGAAACAGTCCAGAGTGAGAATATGGTGGCTTGGACTTGTAGCAGTAGTGGTAAGTGGATGGATTTGAGATACTAGACTTCTTGCTGGATTGGTTGGGATGTTAAATAGACATCCAGGTAGAGATGAACTAGTGATATAAATTTGATGGTCTTCAGGGTAGATGGTACTTGAAGCTAGGGGAAGAATTGAGATTACCTAGGGGCTGTGTGCTAGAGAAGTGAGAACTGGGCACTCTATTCAGAAGAAGAAAAGAAGGTGCTGCAAAGGAACAGGAGTAGCCAGTGACGAAGGAGGACAGGGAGAAGTAGGAGCATGTGGAAGCCAAGGTGGAGAGGTATCTTATGTTGTACTAACTCACTGGTGAGCCACCAGGCCAGCTTGCCCCATCTTGGAAACCATTTGAGTATTTACTTCATTTTTACAAAATCTAATGTCCTAAATGAGCAATAGAAAACCATTAAAATGACATTGATTATTTCTCTATGGTTAAGTCCTTTACTTGATATTTCTGTATACAAATTTCCCTTTGATTACTGATCTCCATAAGTATATTCTTTATAGCCTTGCTACAGGAGTGCTAGTAAGGAATAATTTGAATTCTTTTTCCTGAAAGTAAAATTTAAAAAGAGGAAAATACAAGAATTTTTGAAGTGTTCATGCATACTCTTTAGCTATCAGTAAGAGTATATTAACTCTTCCATCAGTATGTCTAAATTAAGAGATCCTTTTAGGTATTTTAAACAGAAAATAAAATTTCGGAATTATCAAGAAATTATAAGCATTTTGCTTTTTTCAGCTGAGAGGTACAAGCCAAGGAAAGGGCAGGCCTTATATTAGGTTACATTACATTGCCTGTTTAATATTGCATAGATTGGGTGATGTTTCAGTTGAGTTGAATTTAGGAAATTAAATTTAATGAGTATATACTTGAACCTTCTGTTCCCTGCAGAAGGGCTTAGTGGTCAAGGGCAGGAAAACAGCATCTGCTCATAGATCACCTCCTGTTGGTGATGGCTATTTCACTAGATGAGAGATAAACTGGACCCCTGCCACAGCCAAGAATAAGCATTCTGTTTAAAACCACCAATTTAATACAGAATACAATTTAGTTTGCTATACTTCAGTTAGTGTTACATTTTTAATTTTATAATTATAAAAATAGTCTCTCCTTTGTATTCTATTGCCAGGTTTATTTCAATCTCAAAATAAATTTAGTTCTTTCTTTTCATTGTTTTCCTTCTGCTATTTGGTGATAATAACTAACATTCAGTGAACATTTACTTCAGCCTATAATTATATTACACACCTACATGTGTTTTAGCTTCATAACAACCCTATGAAGAACTGTTTATCTCTATTTTAGAAAACTGAGGCTCAGAGATGTTTAGCAACATGCCCAAAGTAACACAACTAATAAATAGTAGAACATACACTATTAGCTATCTCCGTCTTCTTAGTCATTAAATAATTTCTGTTGTGTTTTTTGCATATCAAAATATAATTTCCTACCATAATTTGTTTACTTTCTTTAAGCTTTTGATTCTCTTTTGCTACGTATGTTTAAGTTATGTTTTCTGATAAGAAATTAAATTTTTTTATATTCTGGATTTATACCTTTCCCATGTTGTATTACACTCTTCATTTTAAAGTGGAAATTACCCTTAAAATAAAAAAGGCATGCACAAATTTTGGGAGGCTTTGTGGTCAGACTTTTGTCTTTTTTATTTATAAGCTTAGGAGTATACTTGGTTTTTCCACACTTTTTGAAGTTCTTGCAATGAAATATCTTTTCCTCTTTTTTTTTCTTTTTTTAATTTATTGCCATAGCCAATGATGACTAAGAATATATGAAGGATTTTGGAGAGAAAATTTTAAAATATGCTTTGTGTTATCTAACATTTATTAAAAACCCTTTTATTCCAATAAAAATAAAATCTAAGTAGAACACTTCAAGAAATGATGAGTTATTTATTTTGTTTATTCCATTTTAAAAGACAATAGAAATAAAATACTTCCCTAAAATCATAACTCTCCTGAAATAAAAATTTTGGAATCTATAAGAATCTATAGCTAGGAAAGAAGGGAGATAGGAAGCTGTTTTGTAATAATTATTTTAAACCAAAGACATAATAATTTTTGACCACTTAGGAATACCAATATATTTTTCCCTGGCAATTTACAGTTGGAAGTATACTGTGGGATCCCTTGTTCCCCACTAAAGTGGAATTCCAAGCATTGTCAGAGGTGAAAATGTCCTTAGACAGAGGTACTTGTTAACAATCTTCAGTTAACCTCATTTCAGGTCACTTGTGTTTTTGTTACTGCCAATGCAACTGTTATTTTCAATGTACAATGACAAATTTATATAGTAAATGTTTCTTTTCATAATATTGATTTTAGTTAACCATGAGTACTGTGTTTCCTTTCAAGTATCATAGGGATGTTTTTAGAGTCCACTTGGTCTGATATGAAATAAAATAGAGAATCCTTTTTTGAGAAGACTTAATCATTAATTAATACATTATTATACTGAATATGGATTTAATTTCTAAAATAGGTAAAAGCAAATTTCCCATGTCACTAAAAGTACAGCTTCAGTGTTTTGAATTGCAAGTTACCAAAGAATTGTTCAAAGTAAAATTTGAGCAACTTGATTTGAATACATATTTGATTTGTCTAGATTGTTCTTCCGTGGAAAAGGCAGAGTGATGAGAAATGTTAAAATGTCATTTTTCCATGCTGGCCAGAAGGATCCTATAGCTGTCCTTTTCTTTACTCATTTTTGGTACCTACATAAATATATTTATTTGTAAATATTATTTATTTATAAACATTTAAAGGACAGGGATCTGTTCTTTACTCCTAGTCTCTTTCAGGTTTTTGTTGCATGCCACTTTTTCATGATATCATTGTTCTCTATTTATAGTTGTGATTGTGATTATTTGATTAAATTCTTTCCCTCTGCCACTAGACTATAAGCTCTGTGAGAACAAAGACTGTACATGTTTTTACTCATCTATGATTTTTGAGCATTTTTCATAGTCCCTGGAACAAAGTAGGTGCTTAGTTAATATATGCTAAGTAACCAAGGGTTTTATTTGTCTTTACATGCATGTAGCATAGCATTTGGTACTTTGTGTTCAGTAAAAGTTTGATAAGACAACTTGAAAAAAATATAGTTTATGTACATATATTTCATCTATTGTACTTGCAAATTTTTTAAGTGTGCAAAGACTGTATGTGATCTTTAGTATTTTGCATTCTTCATTCTTTTGAAACTGATAACTGATATAATAATACTGATAGTTTATTGAGTCCTTCACTATGTGCCAGGCACTATGCTAAATTCTATTATACGTGATCTAATCTAACTTCAGAATATTTAGACTTTAATAGACCTATTTTCCAGATGAGTTGACTGAGACTCAAAAAGGTTAAATAATTAAATGAGGAAGTTAGTATTTAACCCATATTATATGACTCTAAATCCTATTCTTTTACCCTCCACACACTCCCAAAGTGATGCACAAACCAGGAAATTCTGGAGTAACACATTGAAGATAACCAGGTTATGTCAGTGATTGGAAAGTGTTAGTACAAATGAGTAAAAATGAACTTTCTTTAATACAAAAATAAATAGTGTATTTGACTCAATAATTGCAGTGATTTTCATGTGATTATGAAAGCAATCTCAAGGATGCTTTTTCTTAGAACTTAAGTGCTTGGGCTTGACTTGTGATCTTTTTTTTTTTGTTTATGCTTCTTGTAGGTTTGAGTGGCCGCTTCTTTGTCACCACTCTCCCAGCATTTTTTCAGTAAGTTTAAATAATCTTCTGCTCTTGCAAAGGTTAGAAATGCGTAGATGTGTGCCAGGACATCTGAGATGTGTCTAAGTTGTTTTCCATGGCCACCACTCATTCAGCTTAATGTTTGAGAGGAAAAGACTGATCTGCTCTGAGGATAAGAGAAGGATGCCTGGAGTGTTATGGAAAAGGAGGACATGATTTCAGCAGGGTGTAGTGAGAAGGAGTGGTCAGAGAAACTTTCTCTGATGATATCAAAGGTAGGATGATTCTTAATAGATAAGTAGGAATGGGTTAAGCCAACAAATTGAGTAGGTCTTTCCAGGTAAAGGAGACAACATACAAAAACCCAAGAAAAAATGAGATGTTTTTTGAGAACTATAACTCATTCTGTTTGGCTGGTCTACAGGGACAGTTGGGCTCAGGTAGTGGCAGGGGAAAGAGAAAGGAAGGGATGGATTCCGGAGATACTTAGGAGGTGGGATCACTGGGACTTACTGACTGGTGTAGCCATGGGAAGGAAAAGTATGTGATGACTACCAACAGGCCATGTGTAACTTGTGAAAGCTCTTGCCTGCCTTCAAGATAAGGAGCCATTAGGATAAGATAAAGTTTGAAAGACAGAGGCAAAAATGGAAGAGATAAGTGTGAAGTACTTATGCTAATTCCAAATGGAGAAGTTTAGGTGATAGTTTGAGGTCAGGATCTAAAACTCAGAACAAAGATCAAGATTGACGGTACCTATTGGAAATTCCTCAGTATTGAGAAAGATAACAATTGAATTGTATCTAGAGAAAATACATATCCTAGGAAGAGAATCAGGTCAAGGATTGAACCTGGGGCTGACTAAAATTAAGGAGACAGTTAGTGAGGAAACCTGAGTTGGAATGATCAGAGTAGTAGGAGGGAGTCCAGAGAGTCTGTTGTCATAAAGGCCAACTCAAAGGATGAAGACAGTGGTATTCAGTAGTGGATAATGCCAATGACAGGTAAAGGGAAAATGGCATAAGAGTGCTCTGTGGATTATGGCACTGATAGTCATTAGAGACTCCACTATGAGCGGTTTCAGTGGAGTCATTGGGGCAGGACCTGTGACTGCACTGAGTAGTGAATGAGTAACAGAGGAGAAAATGGCGAGTGTAGTTTCTCCTGAGAAACTTGATTGTGGCAAGAAAACAAGAGGGAGGGAAGGCTGAAGGCAAACGTGAGACTAAGAGGTTTTTGTTGATTTTGAGGGGAGGGACTTGAATAACATGAATTTGGAAATGTGGATACAATTTTTTTACCTTGATAACAATGGCTATTTTGTTATCATAAGAGAAAAAAACAAAATAATTGTTAGCAAAAATAATGAAAAGTTACTTAGCAAAGTAAACACTGCCAAGAACTTTTAGTCACACATTGTGCTTTTAGTCACACATTGTGCAGTGATAAAATAAATTGTTCAATGCTTTCAGTTTAGGGATTTCTGATTTGTGTAGATGAAAACTTATACATGCTTTCTGATTTATGCCTAACTATACTTTTGTCTTCATTTGCGCCAATTTAAAATTCAAGTGCAGTTCACATGTCTGACCAGTAGTTATTTTGGTTTTTATTATCTGTAACACCTGTTATTTTAATTTATTTATTTTCTACTTGTTTTTATAATTTATAGTGCAAAGGATGGGATATTCCGCCGTTACCGTGGCCCAGGAATCTTTGAAGACTTGCAGAATTATATCTTAGAGAAGAAATGGCAATCAGTTGAGCCTCTGACTGGATGGAAATCCCCAGCTTCTCTAACGTAACTTGTTAATTTTTTTAATAACACGGTCTTATTAATAAAAAAGAGATATCAGGTTAATAGCGTATGGGCTTGAAAGCCTGTGTTTTTCTTCACATCAGTTCTAATTACCTGTATCACATATGGCCACTCTTGGACCATGTGGTATTTCTAGTTTTGTGACACACAGAACATTTGTTTCAGTTAGTTTTTCGTTTACTGGGAATTCAGTAGCCAGATTTGGGTGGGTTATAGAAAACCTCTCTTCGTTAGCTTTTATGCTAAGCCATGCTGACTATTTTCTCTTTACAGAAGATGACATTGGATATCATTTACCATTTTTTCCTTCCTATAATTATTGATAAGATGGAGTAATAACTCTTGAATATAGTTCATGACAGAATTGCTGTTGCTTCTTATGCAGAAAATAAAACCTATGGTGTCTTTGGTGCCTAAAAGAATACTGCTGGGGGTGTTGCCGGGCCATGACGGCAAACTGTCTAACACTTGGTGAGGTAGATAAGGCCAAACCATAATAATTTTTTCCACAGACTTAATTTTAAATGAACTGTCATATTTGTAATTAATTTTATATTCTTATATATAAATATAAGAAATTATCCTACTAAAATGAGGAAAAATTGTACAATTTATTAGGAATAAATCATCTAGGCATCTATGTTAATACCCAGGAAACTCATGGCTTACTCTAAAAGCAGCTTACCTCTGGCATTTCATCCTAAAAATATTTGAGCACTGATTTTATATCAGATATCATGCTAGATCTTAGGTATTCAACAGTGAATAAGACAGACATGGTCCTTCCATTCTCCTCTGGTAACTTAAAGTAAGACAGATTAAGCAAAAACTTGAGAATACAAAGAATCGTAGTCTGGAGAAGGACAGTTAACAAAACAACCTACTTTACCAAGACAGGGGTCTTGTGGGGTCATAGACCTGCTCTAGATGGAGGGGTTAGGAGAGGTTGCTCTGAAGAGAGGCCTCTAGGTATCATCTGAAGAGTATAAGGAACTAGCCCAGGTCAAGAGTAGGGAGAAAAATATTCCCAGGAATGGCTATAGCATGCACATAAGCCCCAACTTGGAAAAGAGCTTGTGTGTTTGAAGAGCAGAGTGGTGGCCAGGGTTGAGCACAGTGAAAGGTAGGGGGAGTAGTCTAAACTGAATAAGAGAGGCAGGCCCAAAGCCAGATCGTGTAGGGCCTCTGGCATGGTGAGGAGCTTGGAGGTTATCAATATGTGGAAAAGTTGACTCTCAGGAGAAAGGCTTGGAGAGGGCAAGGATGGATAAGGTGAGATGAGTTAGAAGGCTGTCGTAGTGTCCAACCTCAGGACTGTAGCTTGTATCAGGTGGCAGCAGTGGAGAAGGAGAGACTGAGTAGATTTAAAATACATTTTGAAGGTTGACTTGGCCAAGGTGAAGGATAGGAAGGATTCACAAGTAAAATCTTCTTGGTGTCTGATTGGGTACATCTTGGTACCAGTTACTGATTTGGGCAAGAGAAGATCCAGGGTTCTGTGTTGGATATGTTGAGTTTGACATGCAGATATTATAATGCTGTCAGATTGAATGTATGGGGGTGGGTCTTCATGGAAAATTCAGGAACACAAATACAAAACATGGGCAGCATCGAAAGCCTTAGAAGTAAGGGGAACACCTAGAAAGAAGGAAAAAGAGAATAGTGCTTGGGACTGAGCCACGAGCCACTCCCAAATTAAGAAGTTGGGTTAAGAAGGGGTCAGCAAGAGGAAACTGAAAATGAGTACTGGTGAGGCAGCATGAAAACCTGGGATGTGCCATTTTCCAGAAGCCCCATAGGTGTTCAAGAAGGAGGGAGTGGTCCTTTGTGTTCCATGTTACCAAGAAGTGAAGGAAGATCAAATATAAGACATGGACATTGAATGAAGCAAGGTGAGGTCATCATGGCCTTGAAAAGTAGTGCTAGTGCAGTGGTGAGGATGGAAGGCAGAATTGAATGAGTTGGAGACATGGTGAAGAAGAAACAGCATGTGTAGACTATTCTTTGGAGAAATTTGTCTATGAAGCTGGAGGACCATGTGAGATCCAAGGATACTCTTTTTAAAAGATGGAAAAGAGCAAACAGGCCAGTGAGATTGTTCCAGAAGAAAGGGAGCAATTGTTCATGGAGGAAGAGGGGCTGGGAGAAAGAACCAAGTCATTAACAAGACAAAAGGGATAGGATCAAAGGCACATGGGGAAGGAATTGGACTGTGGTAGGGCAGATAGACTTTCTCTGTGGTAACAAGAGAAGGTGGATGCAGGTGTACACCACGCTCAGATTTAGGGGTGGGAAGATAAGTGAGATCACATAATGGCTTCTAATTTCGCAGTGACATATGAGGAGTGTTTATTAGCTGAGAGAGAGTACAGGAGGAGAGGATGTGTAAATTTGGAAGAAAAGGATATGAGCTACTATATTATCTCAGAGCCTAAAAAATGCAGTAGGACTGGGCAGTACTGACAGTTTGCTTTAGTTTGGGATTTGGGGCAGTGAGAGTAGTCACTGGTCATGTGATTCCCCCCACCCCCCTGAGACATTCAGCTGCTTAGGGATGAAGTTTTTGCTAGGTAGGTACAATGGAGGGAGAAAGTGCCAAGGAATTGGAATATATTTGCAGCAGAATGCTTCAAATGATTGCCATGGATGCTAAGTTCTATAAGAACAGAAGTGAAATCCAGGAACGAGGACAATATATAGCAAGAAGTAGAGAAATCAGTGGAGATGCAGTCCTTCTGACCTGAATTTTGTTTGTTTTGTTTTGTTTTTTCTTAGTATACATGATCAGTGATACTCTCTTTTCTTTTTTTAGGATGTCTGGTATGGCTGGCCTTTTTAGCATCTCTGGCAAGATATGGGTGAGTAATCTTAAATAAAACTTTATAGTTGTATTTTCAGAGAGGCTTTTAAGAATAAAAATATAGCTTTTAAGCTTTGGAGAATAAACCTGTATAAATACTTTTATAGATTCCCTTTTCTTCTTAAGCCACACAACTACTTTCATGTGGGTTTCTCAGTGGTAATTGAATAGGGACCTGTAACTACTTTGTCAAAGTCGTATTTTCTTAGACCAATGATGAAGTCCTTCCATCAAAGCAAAAGGGTTATGTGGTTTTACTTTATCTTATTTTCCCATTGGCATATCTCCACACAGATCAAAGATTGTTTATGCCTGAAAGTGGTTCTGTGTATCATGAGTTGGCAAACTCCAGCCTGTGGGTGTGCCACCTATTTTTGTAAATAAGGTTTTATTGGAAGACCGCCACATTCATTCATTACCCATTGTCTATGACTGCTTTTGGGTTACAATGGTAGAATTGATTTGTTGTGGCAGAGACACAGAGCTGTGGCCTACAAGCCTAAAATATTTACAACCCAGCCTTTAAGAAGAAGTTTGTAGACCCTCACTATATGTGATCGTGTAATTTCACTGAGTGATTTCAATGGGTTTGAACCATTATTAAGCTAAAAATGTTGAGTTATCATATAATGTTGAATATATCCCATAATTTTTTTGTTCCTTCTCTGTGGAGGGGGCACTAAATACAATGAGATTTAACAAAATTGCTCTGGAATTAAATATAGCTCAAAATATTTTTTTTAAAAAAATCTTAGAAGTAAGTTTTCCTACATATGTTTTCTAAGCTATGCTTTGTAGCTTATGGTGTCATGTTTGGAACTTAATATCAGGAAGTTCATGAAGACTGTTTTTCTCATGCACAGTGATACATGTGGAGGGAAATTTAAGAACAACCTTTTATATCCCACTTTCTCAGTTATAGTATATATTCTACTTTGTGAGATAGAATATATACTATAGGTTTTTTTGGTTGGTTGTTTTGTTTTTTACAACAGTGGCTAATGGGATTTTTGGATTCAGTCTTTTTTATGGCTAAAATATAATTATTTTTGCATTTGTCACATTAAATGATAATTAGTAGTTTCCCTTTTTCAGGATAGTTTGAGTTTTATGTGGTTTTCTTCTACTATTTTCTTACATTTGTGAGAATTGTAATCAAGGGCTGAGAATTGTGAATTGGAAACTAGGAATTGAGAGTAAGGGATTCTGCCTTCTGCATTATGTTGACATTCAAGGTTGACAAAAATCATATAACCTGAGAGCTGTCTGAGCTTTGTCACATTATAATATCTACTTCAATAGGATGATTATAATAGAGGGATATCAGGCAGCACTGACAGCAAGATCTTAGCACAGGACCTATAATAAGTACAGATCAAGAGATGAATTTGTTCTTCAGGTTAAGAAAAGCCTAGATAGAAATTGATCATGGCCTTCATTGATTGTTAAAGAGAAGTTTTATTTTCAAAGACAGTATTACGGAAGATGCGTCATTGTTCTAACCTCATATAGCTTGTCATTAGCATTTAGATCAGGGGTCCTCAAACTTTTTAAACAGGGGGCCAGTTCACTGTCCCTCAGACCGTTGGAGGGCTGTTGGAGAGTGCGACGCACATTCCACACGTGTGCACTATGGACCCAGGACAAGTGGGCTGCTAAGCAGGACAGGCAGCAGTGGCAAAAACACCCGGCAGGCCAGATAAATGTCCTCGGCGGGCTGCATGTGGCCCGTGGGCCATAGTTTGAGGACGAGGACGCCAGATTTAGATAAATAAGAGTTTAAATTAGAAGTTACAGTTTTTCATTATGTTATGCAAACGATTACAATGTGTGACATTTAGGGTGTGTCAGGGCCAGGAGAGGGTGTTTTATCTTTGCATACACAGCGCCTAGCCATGGGTAGCACATATGGATTCTGTGTGGATGCATTGAACTGCAGAGAAAGGGCCATTTAGAGAATAGAATATGATTCATATCTGAATAACTAATTAAGATGTTCTTTTTAATGATGACAAGTAGAATATATATGGTATGTACATATTATAATTTATTTTCAGGTATTTCAAAAAGGAACCAAATATAGATCATTTTATAAGATAAACTATAAAATTTGACACACAAATAATTATATTTTATATTTTGTAAGGTCAATTTTGTCTAGTATGAATACCATATTTTTTAGTTTAGTTTAGCATTTTTCTTGAATATTTTTTTCCATGTTAAACCTTCTTGATGTTGTTATGTTTTAAGAGAGTTTTGTAAAAAGCATGTAATAAGAAGTAATTCTTTCAACTGATGAATTTAATCCATTTATATTTATTGGAACCACTAGTACATTTTTTCTGTTCAAAGATACTGTTTATGTATGTGTATGTGTGTTAAGGGGTGCACAGGAGAGGTGTACATAAAAGAACATAAATGGTAGATTTGTAGATTATTTTGATCTCCTTGTATATAGGTATATTACCTTAATAATCTGTAGTAGAAATTCTGGTATTGCCCTCTGTATCAGCATCTAGCCTCCCCAAGCCTCTTGACATTTCTTTTATTCTTAGAAATAAGTCCCCATCCTTGTATCAAATATATTGATGGGGCTCTTTCCACCTGTGTGTTTTTAGATTCTGGCTCTTGTCCTCTTATTCATAAAGTCTATGATTTCTGGCCTGGTGAGACCCAGTCATTGGCTGCCCATCAGGCCTCTGGTTCCACTTCAGCCTCTAGATACAGCTTTGCTTTGTTGCCCTCATGGAGCCACTTATTGAGCCAATCCTCCCAGCTAACTACCCAGTTTACTCAGTTCGCTCATTTAGCTGGCTCTTCCTTTAGTCTGAGATCCTCAAATCAATATTGATGGTATAACTATGGGGCATATAATCTGTTTTTAACTCATGCCTAGATAATATAAAACTGCAATATAACTATATAAACAATGAACAGAAGAAACACTGCACATGGTGAGAGAGACAGACAGATAGATACCAGGGGGTGGGGGTGGGGATAGAACCAAAAGAGTATAAAGTCTCAGAGACAGAATATAAAGAAATGAATAAAGGCTTATAGAATGGCTAATGCCAGTGAGGCAGGATTTTTGATACCTACCTACTGTCTATTTTACCCTATTGAGTTTTTGTGGATACATAGACAGATAGAAGTCAGTTTTTCTTCAGCAATAGTTTTCCCTGCATGGGTAACTGGTTACATATAAGTATTTCCACAGGAAAAGACAAAACAAGTACATACAGTGTTAATGTTTGTGTGGAGTTTTCCTATGTATTAATATATAGGAAAATGATTAGAGAGAGATTAACAGTAGTTTTCTCTGATATTGAAATTATGGCTGATTTTTAAAAACCTTTTATCTTTTTCTGTAATTTCTAATTTTTTTTGTGTGATGACACAATTAAAACAGTAGCAGTATCTAGAAGATCAGAGCCTACTGAACTAGTGATTCCTTAAAGTCCTTGAGTTTCTGCCTTAGGAGTGAAGCCAACTTGCCAGGTCCAGCATTCTGGAGGTAAAAGCTGGTTCTTAGTATTCTTGGATCTTCCATTGATGAGACATCCACATAGCTGAATTGCTTTGAACTTAGGAGTTATGTTTGGTCTAAGGTATCATGCCTATCAGGTGACATTTTAGTGCATTTTCAGTAAACAGAGTAGGATAATTCCTTTTAATGAACACATATAATACTGAACAAGGATCGGCATTTTCTACAAGTAAAAACTGTCACTTTGCCTGCCAATCAGAGAAACACAAAAATCTAAAACTGAATTAGATTTGTTTTAATCAATTATTCCTTTGGAAACATATATATGTATATGTGTGTGTGTGTGTGTGTGTGTATGTGTGTGTATAATTCAAGTACATAGTACCACAAATACTAACATTGTAAATGGCTCCAAAACCATGATGGACTCAAAGTGAACAGATAAAGAGTTATGCTTGCAGTTTTGAAAATAGAGTTTGACTAATGGGTCTTTAGTAATAATTACCTAAAAGACCACAAGATGGCAGGGTTTCTTTAAGAAACTTAATTAAATCCCCTAAAGAGTACGTTGATACAAGAAAATTAAAGTAGAGTTTATTAAAATAAGAGGATGTTATGAAACTTCTAAGAAGTGTTTGACTCAGAATACAATGATTCAAAAGCAAGTAATTTAATGAAAACTTAAAAATAGAAAGTTTCTTGAAGGTTGCTTTAATTATTTTACAGAAAGTACATAAGACATTGTACAGAAGAACACTTAAAACTGCATATTATTCATCTCCAAATTGTACGTTATTCATTTGAATAAGGTAAATCACCAGATCCTTATAAAGCAAGTTCCATAATGCACTGAGGCAGACTGGGTTTCAACATCTTCTAATTCTTTGGCATATTTCAGGGTTTAATCCTGATGATGTCACTGAGTTATCAAAAAAAGCATAAACTGTGTTTAATTCACAGTGTTTTCTAAAGTAGGGAATTGTGCAATATATTTACAACTTCTATTGAAAAGAGTTTGAATGAAACAATTTTTTGATATCTCAAATACCCTTTTTACCTACTGGGTTGTAAAATACTAGGTTATGCTTAACAAAAACAATTTCCTGGCTGAGCACGACTAATATTAATGCTATCAACAGAGAACAGATGACAGTTTTACAAATCAAGGGTTTGTTTGTATTTCCTATGAATAGTCCATGCATTTGATACATCTTTTCTTTATTCAACAAATATTGATACTTGGATTACATGTGTCAGTGTTGAAAATACTTTAGAGTTATCTCTTCTGCTAAGTAAGAAATTGTAGAGAGAGATCTCAGATTATTCTAGATCAGTTAACAAGCTTTTTTGCTTATTTATTTATCATTTAAAATTAAGCCAGAATAGCCAGGCGCAGTGACTCAGACCTGTAATCTAAGCTACTTGAGAGGCTGAGGCCAGAGGATCTATTGAGCCCAGGAGTTTGAGACCAGCCTGGAGATATAGGAAGACTCTGCCTCAAGAATTAAGTCAGAATAAAATATATTACTTAACTGTATAGATTACATAAACTAAGAAACCAGTGAGAATTATTTAGATTTTGAGAAATATGAAAATTAAATAAAAATTTAGACTCATTTTCATTAGCCTTGTTGGTTTTAGGCAAGAAATTCAGCATTATCTCTTCTTACTGATGATATTTAACTTGGATCCATTTCATCCTGTGTCCAGTAATTGTTTGGATTATAGTTAATGGCTATTTTTTGAAGCCATATAAGTCTAAAACAGCTCACTAAATCCTTCCTCATGGGGAAGCATGGCTCCTGCAACTCTACATCTAAGTGGCTTTGACAGTAAACTAGCTGGTTCATATATATAATTGCTGTTTGATTTGGTATGTGAATACTTTCTAGCTAAGACTGTTTGTTCCTCTTCACTCATTTTTAAAGTGTTTGCCATCAAATGGAGTCCAGAGGAACAGTGAACAGTAAGCACGAAGGGATGTTCACTCTCCTCAAAGACTGATGGAATCTCATTTGCTCATAATACATTAGCCAGAAAAAAAATTTCTGCTGTCTAATGTTACATTTTATGTTTTCTGGTAATTTAGTAAACTTTTTAAAGGATGGATAGATGTAGAGCCAAGAGAATCTGATTAGAAAAAGGAGGCATTTTAAATTGTGGTGTTCTGTGAAGAGGAATTTGGTTTTAGCTGAAAATTGATAAAGGGCAAAGAAATTTAATTTTTTTAATGCATGCTATATTATGAGTGAACATTGAAATATATATAATTATTAGCGGAAGGGGACCAAAAAAATCTATCATAATTGAAAAGAGGACTAGCAAAACAGTTCTATCAGATTTCTATCCAAATCTCTAAGGAAGTAACTCTTACTAGATATGACCTTGATTATTAGTCTCAGTTCCCAGTATAATAAAATTTGACTTATTCTCTAGGACTGATTTTAGATATATAAACCTTTTGGGGAACTTATATGTGTAGAGGTGATTTGAAGATTTGAGTTATAGCTAGAGAAGGAAATTCAAATGTTACATTGGAATTTTCATTGCAAGTAAATATTTTTGTTTTCTTCCGATTACAGCATCTTCACAACTATTTCATAGGGACCCTTGGGATTCCTGCTTGGTGTTCTTATGTCTTTTTCGTCATAGCCACCTTGGTTTTGGGCCTTTTCATGGGTCTGGTAAGAGATAACCAATCTTTTTTCCTGTCTTTAAAGCAAAATGGATTTCACGTAAAACTAAAAGGCAGCCAAGAAAGAAAAAGCACATGAACAAATATTCTTTTGTGTGTCATCTAAGCAGTTAAATCACATTTGCTTGTTTGATACTGCTTTCAATTGTAATGTGAGATATAATGAAAAATTCATTAAATTATTGTTCCCTAATACAGTCTTTGCATATTCTGAAGATATGTACTGCCCAGAATGCAGTGATAAAAAAATAAATGGAGGCACTACTTGAATTGATAGTTTCCAAGACAACTGAATCAGCTGTGATTTCACACCTTGCTTACTTGTTTAGAATATTGTGGTGACAAGGCCAAAGTTTTGAATTTGTTCCTTTGGGTAGATGCAAGATATTTTTCTTGTGCATGTCCTCCAATTGAACCTCTAATCCTGACCAACTGCTTATACATACACTCTGGTGAAAACACTTGAGGTGGATTTTGTAAGATAATGTAGATAAAACAGCATAATCATTACTGTGGAAAAAACATTTAAGAATCAAAGCACATCGTCATGTCTTCTTTGGGCATGAAAATCAGTATCTAGTATGTGTCTGTCCATTTTATCCCTGGCTGTTTTAGATAAGAGTTGGAATAATACATTTATTTATGTAACTATATAGGCAACTATGAATGTTTTAGCATATTTTATTTTTTGTTATGAATAATTTTTTGTCTTTCTCTTAACCTCTTGATCCATTTGAATACATTTTAAACTACTATTAGGATAAGAAGGTACTAACCGTAGAGCTCCTAAACATTATATGATAGGAATAATTGATGATTACTACAAATTTATATAAAAGAACAAACTTTAAGTAAGGTTATCTTAAAGTTCCTTTATAAGAAGTTGGGACAATAACTTTATTTAGCAAAACAATAATAATAAGTTTAATGTGATGGGTATGGTAATTACCCCGATTTGATTGTTATACTGTGTATACATACATTGAAATGTCACGTTGCACCACATAAATATATACACTTACATAAATATGTAGTTATTATGTGTCAATTATAAATAAAAAATAAGAAAAATGTAACAAACATTATATCCTGTGAATAGCTAATAAATGCGTGACTGTCACATTAAAAATGTAAGGTTTTCTACCAGCTTTTTCAGATGGAAATGTTTTTCTCTTTGCTATTCAAATTAGAGCTTGTTTCTCCCCAACCCACAAAAGCTCCCTGCATTTCATTGCTCCACCTCCTGGTCTCCTCAGCCTGGCATTTAGGGCTTTTTCTGGATCCAGGCCCCTGTGGTGATCCAACTTGGTGTAGCTTTAGCAGCCAGGCAGCTGGTGCTACCCATCCTTTCCTGACTATGAGCAGGGCCTCGAATGTCTTCAAACAAACTGCCATGTCTGATCCTTCCCCACCCCACCATTGGTTGTAACATTCCTGAAATGTCCTTCCACTCAATGAGGGTCACCCATTGGTGAGGAGCACCTCCTGTACAGAGCAGTTGTGTTTGTCCAGAATAGTGTTTTTGAAAAAGACTTGTTTTAGATGTGGCTGATGATGTCTATTTTCTTATACATGATTGATTCATCTATTTATAATGAGCTCTTCGTAGACTTTTGACTTTGTGACCCACCCCCATTCCAAATTAATAGTTTTCTACATTATGCCATATCTGAAAAGTAGGAAATTCTTAATTATATCATTGTCTTTGTTGAAGATTTTTGACCAGCTGCTAATTATTTGTCTGAGAATATCTGGTTATAAAGCAAGGCCTAATTTTGAGGCCCTTTGGTAATAAATGTCCTATCTACTCACTGTAAAATCATGTTTTCCCCTTTAGGTCCTGGTGATAATATCAGAATGTTTCTATGTGCCACTTCCAAGGCATTCATCGGAACGTTCTGGTAAGTATGATAACCTCATGCTACTTAGAGTATTTTTGGAATTCTGTGATGTGCCCTTTTGTGCTTATATAGATAGTGGATTTTCCAGCTGACCAAACCATCACCACTACCAAATTCCTTAAAATATGTTCTGTAGGTAGTCGATTTGAACAAAAATATTGTCTTTTTTTTTTTTTTTACAACTAACACATACTTTATTTACTTGATTGTGACCTTATTCAACATAAAATGTTTTTGAAAAAAAATATTTTTTTCCTCTCTTAAATTAGGGGATATTTCATTCTGGCAATTGTTTTTTCCCTTTAGGCTTGTGCTCTTCATTCATTAGGGACATCATTTCCTTCATTCAAACTAGAACTAGAAAGGAGGGAGGGGAACTCACACGTGCCAGTTCCTCTCCTGAGTCCTTTAAAAGCAGTTTCCCCAAATCCTCACACTGTTCGACACTGTTTCTGGGACCAAGTGGCCCTGGATTCTCGTGTCTTTTGTTCCTGACTCTTTTTGAGGCTGCATGAGGACTTTTATGAGACTTTGTAATTATTGAATTTTATGTGGGAGTTCTCATATTTCTTTTCAGTTCTTGAAGTTTTTGAGACTTTGAGATTTCCATAGATTATTAGAAAATATATTATGATCCTTAGAATTCTTAAAAGTGACAGAAACTCAGCATCTTCAGGAAAAAAATGAAAATTTATTAGTTTATATACCTGAAAAGTCCAGAGATGTTCTAGCTTCAAGCACAGCCCAAGTGATGTTAGAGTTCTGCTCCATGTGCCTCATGCAGTGGCTGTCCACAGTCCCAACTCATATTTTCTCTGTTTAACTGTCCTTGAAGAAAGAGAGGCTTTTCCTCCTTATTCTGGCCTAGAATGCCTGAGGAGCACTTGGATTGGCTCATCTTGTCTCATTTCTAAACCAATTGCCATGACCAGTGGGGGTCACTGAGCCTTCTATAAGGTACAAAATACAGAGCATAAAGGAACTTTTACTGTCCCTGCCTACATGCTGTGCCAAAATCCACGTGGTCAGTGAAATTTCCAGAGAGGGACGGAGAAGCCCTAGCTGGGGCTAGGATGCCAGTTGGAGCCTCTGTCCTGTGTGATAGCACAGCTCCAACGTGGACAAACTTTCACTGCCTCCATTTTTTCATTTCATAGCTGAACGCATTCAACTGATTAGTGAATTACCATTGTTTATTCAGAGGATGTTCCCCTTTCTTCCCTCCACAGAGCAGAATCAGAGGTCAGAGGAGGCTCAAAGGGCTGAACAGTTGCAGGATGCAGAGGAGGACAAAGACGACTCAAATGAGGAAGAAAACAAGGACAGCCTTGTAGATGATGAAGAAGAGAAAGAAGACCTTGGTGATGATGACGAAGTAGAGGAAGAAGAGGAAGAAGACAACCCGGCTTCCGGGCTGGATGAGGAGAGAAGTGATGCCAATGACCAGGGACCCCTGAGGGAGGGCAGTGTGGCCAAGGGGGAAGTGGAGCCTGAGGAGACTGAAGAAGATATCACTGAGCAGCCCCGTTCAGCTGACACAGAGCAGGGGGAGGACTCGCTGAGGCAGCGCAAAAGTCAGCACACTGATAAGGGACCGTAGGTTTAATGACATTGTTTCCAAGAAGACAGACTGAAAGAATATGTCAGCTTCCCTCTGGTCTGCAGTTTAAACCAAACCCTTAATTTTTTTTAAATAAGCAAGCTTCTCTCTTAAAAGATGATCTCTAGTCATGTGGTCTCATGACAGTAAGCCTCATGCATACTAAGGAGAATCTTTCAGGTATGACAATCATGATATGGAAAGACAAACATGATGGTGACGTTAGGATCTGTTCATGGATTTGGCATGGGAATAAGTTCACTTACTTGGGGCTAGAGAGTCTTGACTAATGGAGGCCACCCCCAGCCCTCATTAGCCCCTTCTAGAGACAAGGCCTCAGGCCTCATAAAATGAAATCCAAGGAGCCTTGGCTCTGAGCATCCTCACTGTGCAGCAGAAGTCTTGCTTCCTTGTCTTGTGCTTTTATTTTCGTCAGACTGCGGGAAACATCAGGCACCATCGTGCATGAACACTTCTAGAGTTAGAAATTGACAGGGCCCTGGATTTAGAAAAGAGCTCTGAAATTATCCCAAACCTCTAAATCTCCTTTGTGATATTTTGTTCCTTACCTTTAAGTTTTTCAACTCTTTCACCCTAGGCCTGCAGGCTCCCCACACTCTGCACAGTTGTTCCTTGGTGAGAGGACTTAGTAGCCAGGTTTACGTCAACCGTGTTTATTCTGACTTAAGGGTTTAGATAATCAGTAACCACAGCCCAAGAAGTTGTGACTGCCAAGCATCTAGAACGAAATGTTGTAACCGTAAGAGATTCAAAAGGAAGTAAGGATTTTAGAGGACAGATCTTTTATATTTTTTGGCCAAAATGTAGGAGTTTTTTTTCAAAAAGTTTCTTTAGCAATATTCTTTTTGAAGCCAGAAGCCCTCTAAGTCTTGCCAGTACAAGGTAGTCTTGTGAAGAAAACTTGAATACTGTGTTGTTTTGTTTCCATCTCAAGGGGTTCCCTGACTCTTGAACCACTTTAATAATAACTGGAAAACCATTTCTGGTTTTCCTTCAGGGATGTGCTTCTGGTGAAAGAATTAATGAAAGTCAATATCTGGAAATGAAAGATTTGATTTTGTTTCCATCTTTCATAATCTGAAGAATTATATCTTTATAAATCTCTCAATACTCAATCAACTATAAGTATCTAGGGAGCCCAGTTTCTTTTAAAAAACCATCCACCTACTTCTCTATTACCTGATTTATGTCTCAGAATAAATTCATGAACTTAGATTCCAGGCATATGAAAGATGCCTAAAGTTGATTCTATGCCCCTTGGGTCCAGGAAAAATAAAGAGTACAGGTATATGAAATTCTAAAAGTTTCTGTCATTTTTAAAACGGAGTATGCAGTCTATTTCTATTTGGCTGTTTAGATAACCCTTTGCTTGTATTAACCATGAACATGGGGCTCACTGGTGAGGAGAGGTTCTGAAACTCTCTGCCCTCCTGTGGTTGAATGAGGCTATTGCAAACTTTGCACAAAGGAGGTTATTCTTCTGACAGTATCAATTTTTAGAAACAGTTATTTTTTCATCTTGCCAACTCAGTTACTTAATAGTTTCCTTGCCCAGCACAGTGAAGTTTGTTAAGGGTCACCAGTTACTGTGCTGTTCGTTCAGCAGTGTGCCCTCAGGGTTGAGTACATCACAGAACTGATGGCTTAGGAGAACCTTGACAGGTACCCATTTCTGCCCTCCTGCCATGTCAGTCTCTGACACATCCTCACCCAAAGTGCCACAGTTCTGGTCATGGCACTTCCATCTGTCTGATGCCAGGAATCTTCGCTGGATCAGAGCTGATCTCGGCCTTCCCTCCTGTCCCTGGATTTCTTTCTCTCATAATCATCTGAAACAAAGTTTTCAGAGAACAGTAAGTTCAAGTTCTGAGGTGCAGAGTAAGAAAGGTTTTATAGGTTAGCTTTTCTGTATAATTCTTTTCTCCAAAATTGAAATATTTTTATATATTTTTAATGGAGTATTTGACTAGAGGGGAAGGCATGCAGAAATACAATCTACCTTGGATTTTCTAAATGCAAGGCCAATTTCCAACTGGACTCCAAATAGTATGAGTATTCCGAATCTGAAAATCTGATGTCCCAGACATTCCAAAATATGGAACTTTTTGAGTGCTGTGATGGCTCAAGTGGAAAATTTCAAATCTGACCTCATATGACAAGTTGCAGTAAAAACACAGTCAAAATTTTGTTTCATGTACAAGATTATTAAAATCTTGTACAAAATTACCTTCAGGCTATAGGTATAAAGTATATATGAAACAAATGAATTTCATATTTAGACATGGATCCTATGCTCAAGAATCTCATTATGTACAAACATATTCCAAAATACAAAAAAATCTGAAACATCTCTGGTTCCAAGTATTTCAGTTAAGAGATGGTCAACCTGTATCTAATTATGTAATAAGAAAAATGCATTTTCTTTCTCAGCAATACTTTAAAAAACTTGAAGGGTGAGGCACAAAAAAGTGCTTGGAAACATGCTTATGATTTAAAAAAATAAAAATAAAAATCAGGCTTTCCTCTATTGCAATACCAGATATTCAATTACAGAATGGTAGTTTATATGAATTAAAATTAAGAGAATGAAATGAAAGTAACTGGATTTTGGAGTGGGGATGTGCAGTGCTTTATGTGTTGGGTAGCTGGAGCAGGTGACTTTTCTTCAGTTAGAAGGAAAGTTTGAAAGTTCTGATTACCTTTTTATTTTTTTATCATTCATCTCTTGCTATACCTGCTAAACCAATTCAGCTTGCTTAGAGATCTCATATCGATCAGTATACCAGCAATCCAACTTTCTTTCCCTTTGAGGTATAATCATTGGATGGGGTGGAAGAGAGGGCCTTTGGAATTCCCAGGGTCTTGCACTGCATGGGCACATACTTACAGTCTCACCTTCCACACAGGGGCCCTGTCTGTTAGCCACAGGCCTCTTCAACTGCATAAATTCAAAATAACGACTGTAGTAAAAAGTAAATAAGCTTCAACTGGGTTGGCTTTTGACAGTGAAGAAAGCCAAATTTTGACTTTTAATGGCCAAAAACCTTTGTTGCTAGTTTTGCAACATGATTTGGGTATACTTAAGTCTGCAGAAGCTGAATCTTGTAACACCTTCAGGGTAGATGATAAAAATGATTTTTAAAGCAAGTACTTACCATGTGACTTTTTATTGCCGAGTCCCTCAGAGAAGAGCTTATATTAATATGTTGTTTTACAGGATGGAAACATTGAAGAATCTAAAGAAAAATTTACAAAAAAATAGAAAAGTGGAAAAGATAGGGTAAACTTTAGATTTCAGCATAAAATCTTCAGTGTGAAGTGAGAAAGAAGGGGAAGACAGGTGCTTTGCTAGTGTCTATCAGAAGGTTATCTATATCCTTCATCCCGGTGTTGCAGTGTTATTTCTGCCAGTATTATAAATGTGTGGTTGACCCATCCTGTCAGATATGCCAACATTTTGGAAGGTACTCATGTAATCTTTTGTGCCAACAGAAAAGTTGCTTTTTGTGTAATATCTCTTTACCTCAGTCCTATGTTTTGATTCTCTTGAGAAGATTATCGCTTGTCTTGAAAAAGCCAAATGTGGTGTCAAGTCTGATGAACCCTGATAGGGCAGCTTTCTGAATAGCTGTTCTGAAGCAGGAAGGTCACTTGCGAGGGTTTTGATAGCTTCAGCCCAGGATGTGGCCTTCAGGTGGCTTATTCTCAGTAAAGGTTTATGTGGACTGTGACACTCTGTATGTGTGACTCATACAACTTTGACATGTTTCCAAAGTAGTTTGATCATATTTTTTATTAGGCAGCTTCATGGAAATAGAATTTTTATACTAAAAATATTGCTTATTTGTACTGCAATATGTTATAAATTTGTTATTTATATTCTTTGTGATAGTCTTGATTATTTAGCCCAGTATATTTATTTTTCTCTTCGTGTATTCTTTGCTTCCTCAAACAGCATCTGCAGCAACTGGAATGAGAAATCAAGATATTGTGTTTCAAGTACATTGCCTGAATCATGATTCATTTGATCTCAGTATTGTACATTATCCTTGATCCTAAATGTTTTCATTTTATTGTAAATTCCCATTTGCATCAAAACTTAATGAAAATGATGAATAAGTAAAAACAAAGTGGCATATTGCTTTCCATATAAGTATTTTCACAAAAGCCATTTGCCTGGGCAGTAAAAAATATTAATTTGTTAAAATAATTTTTCTCTGTGTCCTTCCAGTCTGTTCATACTCTCTCTGTCTTTGTCCCTGCTTGGCTTGGTGAAACCCAAACTGTGTACCCTTTTGCTGCTCTGGAAAGTGCACTAAACCGAAGGCAAGTTCAAGGATCACAGCCCATTGTGTTGCCTGTAGAAACTCTTTGTCCTGATCACTCGAGTCTCCCTCTGTCCTGAGCTCTAGGGGGTGCCAGGACTGGAGCAGATAGCAAGGGGTGCTGCTAACCCTCCGAGACACCGTGGGCTGACCTGGTCTCCTAGGGCTTTCAGAAAACATTCTACATCTAACCTGGCCACTATTACAGTGAAACAGCAGAAAAGAGGTGAGGTGACTTCTTTAAACACCCTCAGAGAATGGAAAAATGCAGATTTAATTTTTCCTTTTGAAAGATGTTGGAGGATGTGTAGTAAGAAGACAATTATTAAACTTGCATACCACCAAGTTCCTCCCTCAGAGAAGCTAGCTCAGAATTCTTATTTGTCTATGCAGAGAAATGTTTGTGTTATGCTGTATCCACCTATATGATCTTGATTATCCATCCTTGGTGGGAGCAAAGCCTGTAGCTTTGAAGCCAACAATGCTAACTTATAAAATTCAACCGTCTACTTTGCTCTAACCTGGAAGGCTCTGTAAGAAATATATTTTAGAAAATTAAGAATTATTTTCTTAGAACATGTGAACTTCTTGAGATTGATAACTATACTAGGCTAGTCTAGGCTGTGCTAATAGACCCCCAAATATTAGGGTCTTTAAGAATAAGAATGTTATTGCTGTTTCACAATCCAAGTCAGGCATCCCAGGCAGTAGTGGCTCTGCTTCCTGCAGGTTTTCCTGGGGTCTGGGTCAAGGATTGCTTTGCTGTCTAACATGTAGCTTCCAAGGTGGCTGTGATCATTTCCACCCAGACCAGTAGGAAGGAGTAAGAATATGGAGGAGCACTTCTGAGAGATTTTAAAGCTAAGTTGCTAAGGGGCATACATGCGTCACATACGGACGGTCACATTTCCTATGAGAAGACTTAGTCACAGGTCATACCTAACTGAAAGGAATGCTAAGATGTGTAATCTTGCTGTGTGCTTAAAAACAAAGGGAAATGTGAAAGCAAGCAACCTCTAACTTTATCTTACCTACCTTTGTAACCCTAGTGCCCCGGATGCAGTAAGCTCCTGATAAGTGGTAGTAAGAATGCATGTATGTCAGGAGAGGAAAGAATACATATGGGCCCAATGTGGGTTGTCTTCCTTCTGGACTTCATTATTAGTCTTCGAGATACCAGAGTTTCCAAACTACGAGTGTTGTGATCTCTTGGAGTTGATAATTTGTTTGGGAAGATGGGCATTAAAAAGTGGGATAAGAGTTGCAAATGGAAAAGTTAAGAAATGCTATGTGAGTTTATAAAAAAGGAACCTGATCTAGCCCGAGGATTTAGATGTTATGTATGTGACCAGGGGCTAAGATTAGGAGTTACAGCAGCAGAGAGGGTGTTGCGACCACTCAGGTGCACACAAGCAACCTTTAACCTGCTCACATGGAAACATAGGACCAGTGTTTTATCTCAAAGGGAGGGTCTTTGCTAAGCCAACAGAGTAAATTCTCACCTTCATTTTATTTTTTATGAAGGAAGTAATGGAGGGAGGCATGATTTCTTTTTTATTCATCTTTGCATTAGTTTTTTCCTCTTATTTCAGTGTCTTTGACATCCATTTAGTAATTTGTAGATTCCATAAATTTTCCCAAATTGAATTCTGATTAGTAGACATCTGATTAATCATGTTAACTTACACATTATTCTTTGAAAAGCTTTATGCCATCAAAATTCTCTTGTGTTCTGTTGTCACTGGTGGAACCCTTTTCTAAAATTATTTATTATAATCAGTTACTTTGGTATAGATCATAGGATAGATCCAGAGAACATGTGTGCCCTAACAGGACGTCCTGGTAGGTTCACAGAATTACAGAGCTATCACTGTATGGGATTGCCTTTCAAACTCTAGCCCTCTGTGCAGTAAATTCTAAGTATTAGTCTCAATCTAATAAATAACATTAAAAACTAGTAGGTTATGGTTGAACATTCACTTTTAATTATTTTGACTAATAATATTGTACAGAGTATTCTAAGACTTTTCATGTCCTTGACTACTCCATAAATGAGAATCAGCAGTGGGTAAAACCATATGATTATAATATGGCTTCAAGTCATTTGACCTTCAGAGCCATTTGTTCTCCTGACAGCGAAAGTAGGAATTACCTTCTTCTGACAGAGTGAATTGTCTTTAAAAAAAAAAAAAAAAAAGTGAGGAATAGTTATGATCTGGTACTGAAACTGCCTTCAGTGATGGTGGTGGTGGTGGTGGTAGTAGTAATAGTAATAGAGGAGGAGAAAGAGAAGGAGGAGGAGGAGGAGGAGGAGGAGGAAATGTTCTTCCTGTGGTTAAATCCCAGGTCCTCTACTTACCTGCAGGTGGTATAAACTTGAGCAAGTTACCTAACTTCTCTGTGCCTCTTTACACTGGGGATAATGAGACTTTCATATCCACTCATGAAGTTCTAGACAATTTTACCCAATCCTAATGAGGACAACTAGAAAAGTTGCATTTAAAATATTGCATATGTATAATATATAATATCTAATATCTAATATACTTTACGTTAGACATATATTCATATATTACTTGAAGGCATCAGAGTTTATAAGATAATAAATGATTATCAGGCCAAGATCTAGGGGAGATTGAAAGATCAGGAAATTGATTCTAATGTTTGGGCCTACTTTTCTCCTGAGGGCATTTACTGTTCCTGGAGTAGGTGTGAGAGGTGTGTTGAGAGGGTGAGTGATGCTATTGAGAACTTGGTCCTGCTAAGGGGACAGGAATTAGCTAAGGGTGGGGGCAGGGCTGTAAAACCCCCTTGTTTGGGTTGGATCTCTGGAAGAACTCACAGTGCGAATAAGGATGAACTAGAAGTAAGCAGGTCCCCACGGAGACTGAAGCTCAGCCTTGATCTATCCAACTACTGAAATCAGGATGAAGTGATCCCGGCAGCAAGTGTGAGTGCTGGGAGGAAGTTCATTGGTAACAATTGAGTTCTAACTTGGATGAGGAGGTTCTCTTGCCATTTTTATTTTATTATAAGACAGAATGCCTGGGTCTAAATAAATCCCAAGGATCATATTGCCCCATCTTTGTGTATCATTGCATCCAAAGGGCCATAGTCTAGCAATCAAAAGTTAAACTTGATGCCATATATTCGTTTCAGTCTCTCTCTGCCTCTTTTAGTTCCCAAAGCTATCTCCTCTACAAGCTGGCGTGATTCCCCCCTTTTATTCTTTATTCCTGAAAATTATCTACAGTGTCCCCAAAGTGTGAATATCAATTGTTCTCTTTCTCTAACTACTTTCCTCTTACCTACTACTTCTCCATCTTTACTCTTTCTGTAGAAAGAACCTTCTCCACAAGTCCTTTCTGATATAGTTAACCCATCACTGCTTTAAAAGATTCTTCTCAGTGCACAATTAAGCCAGGCATTGCCAGGATTTTCCTTCATGGGGAGAGGAGGTGGGTGGGAGGCCATGAATATCTGTGTGTCAGAAGGAACTGTGCCTGTGTGCCTATCACACTTTCCATCTGCTGCCCTCCGCTTCTCTAGTGTATGCTGGGTAGATCAAAATTCCTGTTGGGCACCTCCCACTGCGGGAGCTGTCTGGCTCAGCTACTTCTGCCAGAATTCATCATTGTCCTTTCTAATAAACATAGGAAGTGGAGAATGGGAAAGCTCCTTGATAGCTAACGTATCAGATTTAGGATTTAATCACACTCTCTCCCCTCTCCCCATTCAGAGAATCTCTAGTCCCCTCCTCCATCCCCATTCCTGATATGAAGAAAGACCATCCAGCTGTTAAACACCCTCTGGGTGGAAGCTACCACTAGATGCTTAACATTGACCATGTCCAGCCCCCCAAGTTTAGCTAGGCAAGCCAGGGTGATCCTCATATGGACTCATCCATGCTGAGTTCCTCCAAATACTTCATCACAGAAAACCTGCTTGCACTGGAAGCAAATTGGTGCCTGGTCTCCAAGAAGGGCTGTCTCTGTGGGTCCATGATTGGGATTTGGACCTTGTTGTTGCTCACCTAAGAAAACTTTAATAGGATGGAGTGTCTTTTCTTTGACTTCCAGCTCCCTAAATCTGCTCAAGGCCTCTGGTCTGAGTCCCATTAGGTCATTAAGTGGTCCTGAAGGCCATTACAATCCATTCTTTTTCCTCCTTGGGTTAGGTCAGTTTTGCCAATAGTGAGAGTTCATGTGGCTCTTGCTTCAGGATTAAAACCCAGCAAATCATGGCTTGCTCCCCTATCTGCTCCAACCAGGGTGTCCAAACTTCATTCCATCACTCCTGACAGATGTCCGCCTTAGGAATTCTTTCAGCCACTTACTTCTTGTGAGTACATCCTCTCAAAACCATTCATAACATTAATGGTGGCTTTTCTAGTTTCTACTCCGTAAGTCACCTCTGGTGGATGATATAAGATATGACATCTCTTTATTTTTATTTCTGTGTATCTTTGTATCATTTTAGTGGAATGCTCAAATCACAACTCAAGGTTTTTTGATTCGGTCCTTTCTTGGCATGGTGTTTTCCACAAATTTCCTAAGTTTCTGGGTGCTATTAGCTTGTTCTCATTCTTCCAAAGTCTGCCTGAAGTTGACTTCCATGACAGCAGCCAGATCCCTTTGGAATGAATCTGCTCAGACGAGTGGAGTGAGCAGCCATTTTTACTGCTCCAAGCAGAATCAACATGGATGGCCTTTCTCTGTTAAAAATGGAATATAATATCTTGAGAAATTGGATGGTCATTGAAGCTTTCTTAAAGTTAACACACATTTTCCAATTTCACAAGGGAAGTTTTTCTTTGAAAGACAATCTCAATTTTATTGCATTATATTTGCTTCATAAGTCTGATTTTCAAATTGGAACCATGTAT